GCCGGCCGGCCAGGCGCCCCCTTTTCAGCTGCTGCTGAAACTGACCAGCAGCGGAATCGGGGAAACGCAGAGCAGAGCAGCTGGGGTACTGCCCGGTTGGTCCTGCAGTGTCGCCCCTCACCCCCACACTCGTCAGCACCCCACCTGCTCTGCTCCGCAGCTTCTCCAAGTCCACCGCTGGTCAGTTTCAGCAGCGGCAGCGGCGGTCTTGGGGACGAGGGGCGGAGCAGCTCCAATTGTCCGGCTGGCCGGAGCACTTCCGGGTTGCAGTTGGTGCCGGACTCTCGGGAGTGCCGGACCACTGGATGCCGGACAATTGGAGTTTTACTGTAATACAAAATTTGATACTTCTTTAAAGCCCAATTATGATAAATCCCTACTCTTGAATCCATGCTGCTACCATGCAACACCCATAGATTATAATAAATTAAGTTGACTTGTATGTAAATTGCATATAAACTGCCTGTCATTTGTTTCTTTTCTTTTTATTTATTTGTCCATAAACTCTAAGCTCTGTGGAGAAGAAAGTTTGGAAAGTGTGCTATACAAAGTGGATGCAAACATAAATAAATATTAAAAAATGCTATTAATAGATTAAAGTTGTGAACTGATTGGTTACAACAGGGAACATTGTACCTCTGCTTCATGTAGTTAATAAGATATAGATGACTTCTGTGACCCTAATTTCTAGTCAGTGTTGATGAGCTATTTTTTGTCAGCTGCTATTCTGCCGAATCACAATTCAGAGTGGATTGCCCTGGTGGAAACTGAGGAAGCCTTGGCTGCTCACCAGAACACTAGTAATTAGCAGATAAGGCCTTTAAGAACTCCAGCCCATTAGAGCACCATCCTGGAGCCACCCATTGGGAGCCACCTACCTTCATGTCATTACTGAATGAAAGAAAGTAGTGATTTCTAATTTAGGAATACTTTTTGGTTTTGTTTTTATTTGGTACATCAAAAAGAATCCATAGTAGGAACCTTTGTGGGACTAGAGGACTAAATTCATACATTGGGAGAGAGGGATGTCCAGTTAGTGTGAATTTTTAGAAAATATCGATTCTGTGAACTACATTTATCAGAAAGTAATCTAGTTTTCTGAAGAAATAATGTGCTAAAATGCAGAAAATGAGCTTCTAGTACATTAGGCTTTAAAAAAGAAAATCAATCATTGGGCTTATTGTTTCATAATTTTTAAGTGCTGGGTTTTGGGAACAATTTTAAGCAAAACATGTAGGAAAAAGTTGTAATCCTATTTTATGTTTTTAGTATTCAGAGGACATGAAGCACAAGACCACTCTACTGGAACTTCAGAAAATGTTTACATATTTAATGGTAGGTTCTAAGTAGAACTTAATGGGGGGAAAGGGAAGGGAAGAAGAACAAAAAAAATCTGTGTGAATATGTCTACAATGGGAGCTTACAGTATAGTTTACAGCTTGAGGACCCACAAAAGTTAATGATCCTATATATTTTTGTTAGTCTTTAAGGTGCCACAGGACTACTTTTTAATGCTGGTGGCAGTCTTAATGCTCACTGTCTACCACTATGATTCACCTCTTCTTCGCTCACAGGAACCAGTCACAATCTGGCCCTTTATCTAGTTTTAGAGAACATAGTAATAATGTCAATTTGCACATCTATTCTGAAAGATGTACACTTCAGTGTAGTTGGGCAGTTTGCCTCATGGCTAGAACCAGAGCTGATTAAGAATGAGGTTTTGCAATTGCTTCTCAGTTTAGCTATTGAGAGTGATGTTGCACAAGTCACTTCACCTTTCTTTGGCTATGTTTCCGCATTTGTAAAGTGGAATTTAATAATTTTGTTTATAAAACTTCCCCCACCACAGAAAAATCAGTTACAGTGCAACAATTAGCATCATCATAAAAAGTGGGTGATGCACAGGAGCTGACTAGTTAAAATGGAAATAATGTATGAAAAAGAAGCATCTTCAGTAGGGTTTAAAAAATGAAGAGGGAGTTGCTATGGAGGATAGCCAAGAAGAATGAAATCCTGCATTGCTTTAGGGATTTGTCCACACTGAAGCTAGGAGGTATAATTCCCAGCTTGGGTAGGCATGCATGAGCTATTGCTGATCAAAATTGTTCACTCAATATAATGGTGTAGGCTGCAGGGACGCGGGCTGGCTGCTATGATTCAGGCTAGCTACCTGAGTACATACCTAGAAACTCAAGCTAGTTGCCTAAGTCTTGTAAGAGAAATATTATACCTTGAATTCTGAATTTTTTTGATACGTTAAAAAAATTACAGGATAACTAGTATTCAGTTTTGATTTTTATATGAATGTTGCCTTTTGGAAGCTCTTTGGATTCTAACTTCTGGTTTCTTCCTAAAATGGATGGATCTCAAATAGATAGTTAAAGTTATTTTAATGTTTTGATGTCACATTAACATGTACTTTGCAATGTTGTAACTATGTTGGTCCCAGGATATTAGAAAGACAAGGTGGGTGAGAGAGACAGTAGACCAACTTAGATGAGTTCTGTGTGGCTCAAAAGCTTCTCTCTTTTGTCAGAGAACCTGGTCCAATAAAAGATATTCCCTCACACAGCTTATCTCTATACTTAAATATAAACTATATTAAAAACCATATCGGGTTGCGTAAGTGGAAAACCCATCTACAAAAATCCTTAAAAGCAAAAAATATCCAGTTAAGACATCTTTCCTTTAACATAACCCCCACACATAATTTTTACCACTCTCACTGACAAACTGTTTGCTATAAATAAATCCCTCAAACTTCCAACATACATAATAACATCATACATGCCACACATTCTTCACAATCACATTATAAATAGATGTCTGTAAAACATCCGTGAACCAGTGAACTATATGACACATTGTTTGCCTATGGAGAAGTATAGTGGAAAATTAAGCATTTCTCAGGATCAGGTTCTTAATATCTGCTATCTGACGTATGACTATCTAATACTGTATTTGGTGTCTGAACAGATCTTTAAAATGTGACTTGTGAAATCTGTATTGAAATTCTTTATTTTAGTTTTAATAAGTATTTATGTATAATATTAATGTGACACTGATTTTGTAATCGTTTGGCATTTAATTTTTTCAGAAACATTTAAATTTTCCTTTATTTTATTCCATCACCTACCAAAATGTATTCTTGTTATATATTATACATTTATTTTTATATGCATATATTTGCATATTTGTATTAACTGTATTTATATTTGTATATACATTTTATTTTAAAGTTGGTTTTTCATGAATAATTGTTTTTTCTTTTCCTCCCCCAAAAGGAAAGTGAATGTAAGGCATACAATCCAAGGCCTTTCTGTAAAACCTACACCATGGATAAACAACCACTTAACACAGGAGAACAAAAAGACATGACAGAATTCTTCACTGATTTGATAACAAAAATTGAAGAAATGTCTCCAGAATTGGTGAGTTCTCAAAACATGCTATAGAAGGTCGACTGTTAAAGTGATAGACTTTCTCAAGTTTTGTTGACAGAATTCATTCATTTATTCACAGAAAAATACAGTGAAAAGTTTATTTGGAGGTGTCATTACAAACAATGTTGTTTCTTTGGTAAGTATCACTGAGTTTCCTGCCCGCTTCATTCCATCATTTAAATATCCATTTTTATTAATATGTCAGAATAATACATTGATTTTCTTTTACCATTTTTTTTTTATTTTGTTACTTTTATTGAGGACTGTGAGCATGTCAGTCAAACTGCTGAAGAGTTCTATACAGTGAGGTGCCAGGTGGCGGATATGAAGAATATTTATGTAAGTACTGCTATGATGGCAATTATAATGTAAATTATAATGTTTTAATCATAATGCATCTACACACTCATTTTTAGCCTCTGACTTGTAACCTGGAAGTACGACCCAGGCTCTGAGATTCAGCACTGTGGGGTTTTTATGTCCGTGTAGACATACCATTAGTTTCTTTTTGCCTCAATTCACCATTTGCACAATGGAGATAATAGTACTTCCTACCTCGCAGGGCTGTGGTGGGTATGGTATAAATCTATTGAAATATGATTAAGTGCTCAAATACCACAGTGATGCGTGCTATATATGTAGCTGATATAAACAGAGTAAGTGCCTAAGATTGATATGAGCTATGAAAATACTTACTTATTTCTTGCTCATTGTACACAGGAATCTCTTGATGAAGTAACTATTAAAGATACCTTGGAGGGTGACAACATGTATACATGCTCTCACTGTGGAAAGAAAGTACGGGCTGAAAAAAGGTATGTCTGTGAATAAATAAATGTGCTTAGCATTTCTAAGAATCAGTTTCATTAATTTGTGTTCATAGTTTCCATCAAGTGAGAGTAGTAGTCCAAAAATAATCTATTTGAATAGCAGTAATATTGGAGACCAAAAAAGGATTGTAGCCCCACTGTCTAAAGCACTGTAGAAACATAAAAAGATGCGAAAGAGCTTATTCAAAATATAATGACCTATGTAAGAAAGAATAAAAGACATTTTAGAAAGAGGTCACCTACTCCATAATGCAGGCTTCGTAAAATTGTAGTCTCACTTTTCTCATTTTTTATCATAATCTTCACTATTCCTTTTGTAGAAATGAATCTGTTTTGGTCTCAGTTACTATATATGTTATTAGACGTTTATTTCATATATTTATTACTTGTTACACAAAATGTCTGGGTTCTTCAATTTTGACTTCTGATTTTAAAATGGTTCAGTAGCTTTTGGAGCTCTTTGAAATATACAAAGAAAGTACAAAGAAAGTGTGTCTGTTATATGTGTGCTCTTATTTTATTGTTAAAATCTTCATCTTATACTGGAAGCCTCAGTTACAGATTTTAGTACAGAATATGTTCTGAGTTGACATATGTCTACAAGAACATGTTATGCACAGATATGAGTAGTGATGGCAGTTTAGCAGAAGTTGCTACCACAGTCTGTAAAAATGAGGCATAGGACTTAATAAATCAACTCTTTTTTAGTTTTGCAAGTAACAAAGAGCCTCGTCTTAATTAATGACCATCCAGACTGAAATAAATCAGATTGTAGAATTCAGCTGTGTGTGACTAGAATGAGCAAATATAGCATTATTGTGGAGTGTTATCGACAATCACAACATCTTTTCATAATTCAAAAATACCGATATGATTTTATTTAAATAAAATCGTTGGATGAGACAAGCATGAAAGATTTTAATCAGAAGAGATTATTTTCTTCAGCTTGTAAATAGGGTGTAAAACGGCATGCAAAACAGGATCATTATTCTTTATAAGAAGTCCCTAATGTAATCTTAACTGTAGGGAGAGTTGTTACATGCTTATTGAAATAATGGCTGTTTTAAATCAGTCTTCCACTTATTACAGGTTGGACCTCCCTGGTCCGGCATTTTGGGGACCTGACCCATATTGGATGAGGGATTTTGCCAGACTAGGGGTGGTCATTTATAGCCCCCCTTGGCACCAGCCCCCTTCGGCCCTCACCTGATTGCTGCCCTCCCAGCTGGCTCCCCACTCTTGCTGGCCCTGCTGCCCTGTCAGCCCCTGCTGCCCTATCGGGCAGCCTTGCCACCTCTGCACACCAGTCTCCTGCAGTCTCGCCCAGCTCTTGCTGTTGCTCCAGGCAGCCCGCAGCCTTTGCACCAGGCTCCTGCTGCCACCTGTGGGGCTCCCAAGTGGGGAGCTAGCCCTCCACTGGGACTCTGGTCCTGAAACATCTGTAGTCCTTTTGGACTGTAGATGTTGCCAGACCAGAGAGTTCCAGTTAAGAGAGTTCCAACCTGTACCATAATGTAATCCCTACTATATATCATCGGATGACAAGATTTTTATAAAATTTGACTGATACTGTGTAAGGTGTTGTGATTGCTGATTTTTCAATTTTAGGTGACTATTTCTAACATGAACTGGAAATGAATGACAGGAGATAGTTTTGAGACTCTTTGTGGCAGTATTATTTAAGCAATTTAGTTTTCTTAAATATTCCTTCTTTGTTTAGGGCATGTTTTAAAAAATTGCCTCGCATATTAAGTTTCAACACCATGAGGTACACATTTAATATGGTCACCATGATGAAAGAGAAAGTCAACACCCACTTCTCATTCCCTTTACGTTTGGATATGACACCTTACACAGAAGATTTTCTCATGGGAAAGAATGACAGAAAAGAAGGTAGAGTTTGCTTTGTCCCTATAGTTTTCGAGCAGTGAAACTGCCGAAAATTCAGTCTGTTGAAAATTTTTGTCTCTTAGCATAAAATGGTATCAATTAAGCTGTGTAGCCAGGTGTCACTGGGGATATGGTGAAATCACGGAAATTAAGCTTACAAAAGTCCATATGAAATTAAAAAACAATGAAAGGCTAATGTGTAGCCTATTTTGTTGTGGTTTTTGTTTATAAAGAAATTGAAATTCATTTTACATAATATCTGGTGACTGCTAAATCTTTTTATATTTGTAAATATAGCACTAAAACCAATCTAAATTATTGATAAAACTATTTTTATGATTAAATTATACATTCCTGGCTTATTATATATAGTTTGTTGTTGATTTGTTGTATATTTGTAGGGCAATGTGGTGGCAAAATTCTTTAACTTTATTAAATGGTTCAGTGTATATATAAGCTGCAGAAGTATTACTATGTATGTCTTGTATTCTGGGTCAGCAGCAACCCCACAAGAATAGTGACCCATTCTCTACCTGTTGGGTGTAGGCTTTCTGGCTGCTGTTTATATGCAATGCCGAGAATATAATATGCCATTACTTAGTGTTTTTGGCAAGAAATATTTGCTATAATAAATTCAATCTGTTGAACGTTTTTCTTTCTTAGCCTAAAATGATATCAATTAAACTATATAGCCAGATGGCACTGGGTATTTGAACCTGCATTAATTCTAGTGTTATGAGGGTTAAAGGAATCACTTGCTAAATGTTATATTAAATTATTTAAGGTTTTAAGGACGATGGTGACTATTTAAAAGAAACTGAAAGTTATGAGTACGATTTAATAGGCGTGACAGTACATACCGGAACAGCAGATGGTGGTCACTACTACAGTTTTGTCAGAGATATAGTCAATCCCCATGCTTACAAAAACAACAAATGGTGAGTTTTAAGTATTCTTGTTTGTGATCAGTTTTCCAATGGGTAAATACTTAACACGGCAATGTCATCTGTTTTAAATAAAGTATTTTAAATCTCTTGTTTGAACTATCACCTTAAATTGATAAATGTATTTGTAAGTATTTATCTTTTTCCTGTCAACAAACATTCTCTTCTGTTTTAGTGGAACTTAAAAAATGGTGAGCATTGGATGGATTGATTAGAAAGTACCAATACTGTACTTTCTAGAGTACATAACACTGCATGTTCTCTATTAGACTATAAAAGCTTAACGATAGGTCAGCTTCGATGCCTACATTTCTGGTTTTTTGTTGCATCAGTTTTGTAAAGGTTATTGGTTTTGTTGTGTAAGTAGTGCAAACCGTCATTGATTCTTGTTGAGTGTGTTCAGGACTAGATGTCCTAGATGAAAGTCATAAAATTATAGCAAGTCATTGTACATTCTTGGACAGTGCATGTGTAGTAACTTTGTGTGCAAGACATTTATGAATCTGTGTCTTTTATGCAGATTTATATTGCACTAAAATGTATTTTTAGCAGTTATGCATGTTAATGCACTATAGCAACTTTGGTAAGATGACTAGGTTTGTGAATATCCGAGAGAAGGCAGTTACTTTTTAAGAATGTTTACGTTTTTTCTATAAAGCAGATTCAGGGGAAAAAACTTGTTTTTATTATCATTATGCCCTTTTATGTCCTTTCTAATATGATTATGTCTTATATTCTTTGTCTTTCAAATTTGTCATTTTTGTTTTGTCAGTTTTTAGCTATTAATTTTTCATGGTGGGGCATAATTTTTCATTTTGCTTTTTTTAAAATCTGTTCAGTTCTACATCTGGGAGATTCTCCATTGTTACACTGTAGTTATCAAAATCTTTTGATACAGGCAAACTATTGTTTTATCTCAGCTGGAATTTACAAATTGCCAGTGTTTTCCAAGCTATTAAATTTTCTCAGTGTTCAACGCTTACTTACCATATGTAATTAACAGAAGTATGTCTGAATATTTGTAGCCTTTAGAAAAGACAGTTCCTCCAGCAGAGGTCATCATCTGAGACCTTCACTTATTATGTCCATTTTAGCTGATCATCACATTTTATTGTAATGTTCTTTAATTGACACCATTTTTTAAAAAGTAAGTCTATCTCCTTACTTAATGATGTTGTATTTTAAGACTCTGGTATTGCCCTTTACTTCTCAAGTTTTTGTGACTTTTCTTGTTGACCATGGTTCACAGGAAGGAAAGATGTGAGTTCAAAAAATTTTAAAGATTCTAAAACTCACATGGATTCCTAAAACTTTAAAGATCTAGATTTGTGTATCCATCTTAAAATTCATTTGACTTTCAGTAGTCTAAATGATGTTGTGCTGGGTTCCCTCTTGGTCTCCACTAACATCTCCAGCTCCTTTGTATTGATTTTCAGAGTGCTAGGAGATTTGTCCACGAAGGTAAAGTATCTCATTTCACCTCTGTAAAATAGTATTTATCTTAACAAGAATAGCATTTTTCTGAGAAATCTTGGATTCAACTCTCTCTCACTTTTCAAGCAACAAATTTAGGTTTTCAGAAAAGAATACTAGGCACTCTTCATTGGGAAGAAGTCAGTCCTTTGCTTTCAAATGTTCTTTCAGCTGTCTACGTCTAGTTGCGGTATTTTGGGAGTAAGACCAAGCCTTCCTTTTCTGCCCCTAAGAATGAGTACAAAAATTTTGAGCTATCAACCTTTCCCTCCACAGACTTGTTTTTAGTGAAAAGTCATCCTTTCTGAATAGTAGAATCTGGAGTAACTGCTGAAATTATCTGGCCATAAAGAAGAGGGCATCTTGCTCTTTAAAACCCGGAGTGGTTGTACTAGTGTTTAAAAACCTGAGAGATTAAAAATAAAATAATTCCGATCCACCCTTCTACTGATAGAACATGTTGATTTCCTGGCATCTGTGGACCTGAGCCTGCCTTTGATTACACATCCCTGAAACTCCTTTCCACAAAAGGCACTATATATACATGTTGGACAATTGGTATTTCCAGTGTAACTCGTTTTTCCTTTGGCCTGAGATCTGTCCCATGAAGGTTCACATAGGTCACTTTGGTTATAGCAGAAACTCTTTGTTGAAGGAGTTTTGTATAGTTTCTTATTTGGATGATTAGCTTATTCAGCCACATACTCAGAACTCAGCAGCTCAGGTATTATAGAAGATACTGGCTTTATTTGATGTGCTGGGTCTTGTAAACTAGGAGAATCAATAAAAAAGAAGCTGCACCATAATTCAATCCTTCTAGGTTCCAGGCAGAATACACATTTCTTCACAAGACTGGAAAGCTCACATGGTTACCTGTGCATCCCAAGAAAATGTAAACTTCAGGAGAAAGTTGCATATGAACCTCCTTAGCTGCAGCTGATCATGTAAGGCCTGGAGTATGCAGTCTTTTTATTGATATACATTTTTGTTTGGGATGCAATTTTTAATTAAAATAATTATACCAATACAGTGCCTCTTGTGGACATAATTCTAAGAGTATAAAAGTGCCTTATAATGTTATAATTTATTCATCTTCCCAAATAGGAATAAGCTATAACAGTAGAAACACTTTTGTACTGACTTAACTGCAATCACACTACAAGGCTTGTACTGCTTTAACTATACTAATATAGTTATACTGGAATAGTTAAAATAGTACACATTTTGTATGTTCACCAGGCCTTAGTCTGTTTGGTATTAACATGCTAATCTGAGGAAACCATAACATCAAAGTCTGGTAACACTGCAGGGAAGCATAAGAAACCTGATCCTACTAAGGGTTTCTGCCTCTCTTGATCTCTTGTATCTAGGCAATCCTCTTCTCAATAGGGCTCTAACTCATTCCGGGTCACATGAACTTTGCATTGGACTGGCTAACCTCATCTAAGGATTATTTTAGGAGAGTGGTCATTCAGCAGATCTCAAGAGTTTGGGGGTAGGGAGTGGGGGCAGCAAGTACTTGGACCCAGGAATGCTGGCCAGGAATGTGCCTGTACTGTCATAGATCTAGCTGCAGAGAGGCTAATTATATTCCACATGCTATCTAATTTTGCTTTCTGTAGCTTAGTTAAGACAGCACAGACTCTCATTGTACAGTGCTTTCCAAGCCATGGTTTCAACAAGAGACTAAATTCTTAAGTAGGGAGGTAGAACTAGTGAACACATTTTCTTTCAGTGGACAAGTCAAAGTAGAGGAAAAAAAGTGGGAAAATCCTGGAAGGTGCTTTCCTGGCTATTGATTCACAGCTAACAAATTAGCTGGCAATGGGAATGTAATTTTCTTTTACTTCCTCATAGTTGTATCTTCCATGTATAAATGTAATGTTTAAGATGCAGGTGTTCTTCATCTACTGATAGGCGACAGACAACTGATTCAAAAGTTTAATTTTTTATAGGTATCTTTTCAATGATGCTGAAGTAAAACCATTTGATTCTGCTCAGCTTGCTTCTGAATGTTTTGGTGGAGAAATGACTGTAAGTCGTAGCCTTTACCACTAGTCCTTTTGTACCATCTCAGAAGGTACTACTGGACAATAACCCTAACCCGAGGACTTCGTCACATGGGTTTTATAGAGCTCTGCCCTCCCCTTCTATTCCTCCTGTTCAACATGTATATTGGGGGGTCAATTTACCTTAGGGCCAGTGTCAGTCCTCAAATCCTCCTCATGGGCTGTGGGCACCCCCTTCTGGTAGGGCTCTGGGGAGGGAGTCTCCATGTCTCCCCTCCCACATCGCCCAGCCCATGTTCTCTGTCCCCTTTCCGCTCCCATGTGTGCCCCCAGCCTGCTACCCCTGGGTGATTGAACCTTCCCCTCCACCAGAAACCCCTGGCACCACCACCGGTAGCATAGTGGCTTCTGACTGCTAGCTCTGCACTGCTTCTGGCACGTCTCTGTGGCCCGGGGGAGGTGTGTGCAGAGCCAGCCTGTCCATAGGATGGTTCGTTGCAACCGCCCTGGGCCTTGCGCTTTGGGGGCCATGTGGCAGCCACCCCAACCACCCTCAACATGGGATGGTTCCCCATACTCAGGTTAGTCTGCGAGGTTCCGGGTATGCTGGGGCCAACAGCAGGGCTCAGGCCCCCCGCACTTACCACAGCAGTGGGAGCTGCTGGGAAGCAAAGCTACGCAGCTGCCTGCTCTGCCCCACCACCATCTCTCAACCCAGCCCACACCGTGGAACAGAGCGACCAGGCTAGCCTGGGAGATGGCGGTGGAGCAGAGTAAAGCAGGCCTGGACAAAATAACAGCCCGCAGGTCGGATGCGGTCCGTCAAGCCACCGGATCTGGCCTGCAGAGGCTGGACTTCCCTGCTTGTCCCGCAGCCCCACACGCCGCTCAGAAACTTGCCTGCGGGCACTTTCTCTTTGAGTCCGGAGAGGAGGGGGGAAGATTCAGATGCTGCCCCCACCTCCAGCACAATCCCATTGGCTAGTTTCTGGACAGAACCTGGCCAGTGGGAGCTGCCTGCTTGACTAATAGGCAGCCACAAAGTACTACCCTCCTGCTCACTCACTCACTCAAGCACATGGTCGAGCAGGCAGAAATACTTTAAGCTCTGCAAGCTTTTAGCTTGGCAGGCAGGTAGGCTGGTTTGGCTGCTGGCTGGTAAGTCTCCTGGCCTAGGTCACAACTGCCTTCTTCACCCAAACTCCTTCCCACACACCCCAGTTCCCTGCTCTAGGTCCCAACTGCCTCCTTCACCCAAACTACCTCCTAGGCTCCCTTCTGCACACAACCTCTATCCCAAACCCCACGTCTCTTCCATTAATATCATGGAAGAATGCAGCCCTCAACCACTTTCCAAAATCTTGGAGTGGCCCACTTCCCCCTTAAAAAATGATTGTCCACCCCTGGAGTAGGGACTGTTGTGTTGCTTCATTTTCCCACAGCTCCTATCATTGCAGTGAGTGTGCGGGGACACAACCCCTGCTGTGGCCCCCATGCCAAGCCTCCCAGTAACCCCTGAAGCCACATCCCTTGTGGGAGGGGGCTTGAGGGAAGGATGGTGGGGGAAATGGAAGTGGGGCAGGGATGGAGCAGGGGCTGGGGTTGGGGAAAGGGTACAGACGCCCTTTTAGGGCCACAGGGAGTCATGCCAGCAGCTGTGCATGGGCCAGACTGTGGAACTGCTTGGGCCGCAGATGGCCTCCAAACTGCGATGTTGAGGCCCCTGATGTATATGAAGCTACCAAGGGAGATTAATTGAGACACTTGTGCAGCTCTAAATTAGTTTTTGTATGTGATTAAGAATATAGTCTGTTAGTGAAATAAGATATACATTAATTTTACAAATGCAAGTGCATTTTGTCCAAACAGTTGCATAGCAAATTATATTATTTTATAGCTCGTGTATCTTGTTATTCACATTACATCAGTTTCCTGGTCTTTAAAATAGTGATAACTTTTTAAAAAGCATTTTGAAATCCTTGACTAAGAAGCACTAATAAGAGTGAAACATATTAGTATTAATGCTTCAGGAACAATCAGTAGCTGCCAGAGAATGTAATTCTTCAGATTAATGGCCAGAAAGTATTGGCTAATCAGGCACACATCCATCCCTAACGAAAAGTTTAATATTTATGTTCAAGCCCACACCTTACATAATTTTTCTTTTGGTCAGAGAAGGAAGTTTCATGGCTTTAAAAAATATAAAAAGCAAATTACTTTACTATATTAGCTTCTTGCCTTGGTTTATTAATCTTCCATATGAATCTACCTTTTGTCAGCACTGTAAATATTTTTACAGATCTTTAGTACAAACTAGTTGCAAATGTGTGCTTTCCTGATTTGCATGCTTAATAAGTTTATTACAATAATTCTATGAATAAGCTAAAAACTCCCACCCGGTAAAGATGCAATTCCAAAGTATAACACAAAATTGATTCCAAGCAGAAGATCCAAAAGAGAGAATATGATCTGGAGAAATAAGAGAGGAGTCAGAGTCCCAAGTACTGAACATTCACTTCTGGAAAATTAAAGAAAAATATTACAAAAATTAAACATTATTTAATTATGAGCAAGTAATATAATTGATGGCAGACCCTGCATAGAAGGCCTGCTTGCATATTGAGACCAGAACCTTCCCCAATCCGGCCATAACAGCAAGGTTTCTGATGAAAATTTTCAGTAACCCATGTTCTTTTTTGACAGACCAAAACATATGATTCTGTCACTGACAAATTTATGGACTTCTCCTTTGAAAAGGTATCATTATCTCTTTTCATTTGCTAAGTAAATATATTTTAAAATTTATGACCTAAATACTCTTATCTCTAGAGCAAAAAATTATTCAGATTTCTTTTTCTTAAAGACACACAGTGCGTACATGCTGTTTTATAAACGGATGGAGCCAGAGGAGGAAAATGGCAAAGAATACAAGTTTGATGTATCGTCAGAGTTGCTAGAGGTACAAGTTGGTTTATTTTAACACCAGTGTAAAAATAGAATAAGAAGTCTATCGAAATTGGTGATATCTGCATAAATATAGAAAATGAAATTTGATTTTTAACATTAAGATAATTGAGTGGCTTGCCATCTTCCATAGAACAGTTTGTAATATAACTCTTGACAAAAGTTTACATTGTTAAAATTGAAATTGTGTCAGTGTTTCTATTATTATCTACTATTTTCCTGAGTTCGTAACCTAGCAGTAAAAATCATCTTAAAACTTGGTTTTATCATTAACTACAAAAAAGGAAGGTTATATTTTTTTAAGTTGAGTTTTTTATTAAAATAATATATGGCAATAAGAAAGTAAGTGTAAAATAGACATTACATGACAAAATTCTAACATTCGCGGGTATTTCTAAAGTAAAAATAATATGTAACAGAGAGCTGTCAGCATAATCATCAGAGAAAGGGCAATAAAGAAGATGGGGCATTATACATATCAGGCATAAAATGTATAAGATTTGTATTGATTACACATTGAAAACTATGTCATGTAGTTCTTGTAATATAATTTAGCTCAATGTCTTGTTCTGTAATAAGGCCAAAAATCAGCTGTCTCCAGCACACCAGTTGCCTCACAATGCATCATTTGAAATAGTCACAACTTGGGCAGGAGGTATAATCTAAACAGGAAAGAATGGTTTATTAAACAAACAAGCAAGCTCCATTTCTGTTTTATTGTGCTTACCAGTGCATTTCATGAAAAATAGTTCAAACATTTATAATAATTTATTTATATGAGATAAGAAAACCTTTAACTTGGGCTAATATGCTTCAGAGATTTTAAACAGAAAGAATGGTTTCAGTTGAAACCAATCTATAATATCTGAGCCTTCTATATTCTGTTAATTTTCCATTTTGTAGTTGCTTAAATGAATGCAAAATTATAGCGGGAATTCTGACTTAAGCAATTATGTCTTAATCATGTAGACTAGATCAGAGTTCTCTAACCTGTGCTTGGGATCCACTGTGGCCTTCAGATTTCTAAACTGTGGCCTTTGATCAAAAAAGGCAGTGAGATGATTTGTATTGATTACACATTGAAAACTTGTATTTGGGGCTGTGGCCTGTCATTGTTAAACTGAAGTGTTTATAGTCTATTGCTGTGGGAAGGAGACAAGGTAAAGCCTTCTCTGTAGCTCTGTGACAGAGAGTTCTGAATAACTGCAGATACTCAACAGCTCATTTGTTTGTTGCCTTGAATATCAGAAATGATAAAGAAGTTATTTCCTGCAGACTTGAGAGTCCCAAAATTGAGCAGGGGTTGGAACTCAAATGGCTGCTCTTGACCTAGGGGAGAGCCTTAGCAGAGAATGGCTTCACTCTTCCACATGACCACCCAGGGTAGCTCATCTGAGGAGGAAGAAAAGAAAAGTTGAGAACCAGCCATCTGTTGCATCTCCCTTGCTTTATGGCACATAAAAGCACTGAAAGCTGCTCTAACTTGTCAGCTGGTTGCCAAGAAACATGGCTATTGAGGGACTAAATGCCAGTTGGAGATAGCTAGAACACATCATTCACATCACTCACATCCTCCATGTTTCTGACATGCGTCTAACCACCCCCATTATGCATGTACTTTTAAAAAAACTGCACAGAAGGAGGCTTAGGGGCTGAACATGTCAACCCTGTGCCTGATAGAAATGCATCTCTACCTATGCCAGTGGTATTGCCAGTAGATTTACATGTGGATTTTTTCCTCTTCTTTTGCCATCTGAATGGCTCTAGGGAGCAAAATAGAGCAGAGAAGCGGTCTCAATATACTGATTTGTGGCCCATTTACATGTTTGGCTTTCAAGCTGAAAACGGTCGCAATATTGGACTAGTCCATGGCTGGCCAATCAGATTATGCTTTCAGTCCTGCTCAATCCATAGTAGATTTCAGCAGAGAGTTACAGTTTAAAATCTTTCATATTGGGGAAAAATAAGGCCAGTAGGTTTGGTTAATTTCAAACAAGGCGATCTGGCACAAACTGTTGCTTTGGATGAGAATAGTGGGCCAAATTCTTCTTTCAGGGTTCTATCAAAAGCTCATTGAAGTCAGCATGAGTCTTTCAGTTAATTTCATTGTGCTTTGGATCAAGCCCTTATTCTTTAGCTGCATCCATACAACCCCATTGACATAAATTCTACTATTTATTTGTTTAGCTTTTATGAAAATCATGCCCCTAATTTAGACACCTCAATGCATACTTAAGAAACTCATTTTAAAAATTCTTGAACAAGTAAGCAAGCTTGTGGAAAGGTGTGTCTGGAAGGGAGGAGATATTGGGAACTGCTATTAACTACATTAGGCAAAACTATTGTCTGTCATAGCAGAAATAAAATATCAAGCCTATATTTTCCACTGAAATTGAGAGATTACATTGGGTTTTTATAGTCAATGGGTGTAATAATTTTATTATTAAAAATCACACAAACTGTAATGAAGTAAACTGCTTTCTTGTATCTGATGTTAGCATTTTTTCTTCAGTGGATATGGCATGATAACATGCAGTTTCTTCAAGACAAGAATATTTTTGAACATACGTATTTTGGGTAAGTTTTACTTTAAATAAATATTATTTTAAGATGTTTTTACTTAATTTAGATTTTTAAATATTTTAATTAACAACATAAATTACTGACTCTAGGTTTATGTGGCAATTGTGTAGTAGCATTCCAAGCACGTTACCAGATCCAAAAGCAGTCTCCCTAATGACAGCAAAGGTAAAGTATCTTAACATCATAAAACATTTCTTCTTAACTGAATAAGTTTAAATGACTATTATGGACACTGATTAATTGTATAATACTTTCTTATAGTTAAGCACTTCCTTTGTTCTGGAGACATTTATCCATTCAAAAGAAAAGGTATGTTTGTTGCTTGTAAATTCCTGTTAAGTAGTTTTGTGAATGCAGTGAAATTTGCCTGCCTCTTTGTGCTTTCATGTAAAAGGATATGGTTTTGAGTTACAACATACAGTAGTTAATACAAAGAATGTGTACAATTTCAGATTTCATAGTAATCCACAAATGAAAAGCATAAAAATGGCTTTGTGCCCACTTGCTTCGTGCTGCTGTAACTTTGATTATTGAAAACAGTTGTTGTATGATGGGGATTGTTGGGGCTGGGTTGTATTGATCTTTTTCCTTAGAAATGTCAAGACTGACAACATTTGTATTCCCTTTTTGGTGGAAGAATTTATTGTATGATTCAGAGGTGTGAATGAGAATCTCTTATCTTCTAATCAAACAGGCTGAGTGTTAAGTCCTTAGCAAAGTGAGTTGGGCTTATAAGTATTTTAGTTAAATAGATGTTAACATGAACACAAACCAGAGTTTCAGTCAGTCTGAATAAAAATTATTTTAACTCCTTGTTGATTTACTTTCTTGGTATCTGAGATTCACTTTCATGGCATCTGTGATGTCATAATAGTACCAGTTCTTCATTCTGGTTAGTCAAGACCTGACTTCCTAATAAAAAACAAGGAAGGAGAAAAGAGAAAATTTCAGACCTTTTTGTACTTTATATAACATTTAATATTCAAGAAAATAGTGTGCAATGTACTCTAGTCCACCTGGACTGTTTGATGCAGAGCAGGTGTGTTGGATTGAGGATCCGGCCACAACCTGGCATAAATTAATGCAGTTTTAGTGCTGCTGTAATTTATGTATAAGCCCTTTAATTTCCTGTTTAAACTGATGTTTACATAAAAAATTCCAGGTTTTATAAAAGTATTCCTTTTTATTTTCGATTTTCACCCTACTTTTATATGATTCAGATAGATGTATAAAAATTAACTTGTTTTATTAGGAAAATACAATTCATTGAATGAGCTATGTTATATTCGTCTCTGTGTATATGCACAGCTGCCTGTTGAAGTAAGGCTATGTATTAGTCTAGAATATGCACACAATAAACAAACAGGCACATGCTCAAGTTCTGAAGTATCTCTGAACTTACTGATAAATCTCATGCCCACCACATGCACATTTCAAGCTATTAGCAGATAATTATTTAAAAATTAGACATACTAATGTAAGTCTTTGTATCAAGATACATTTTAGAACACTGAAAGGTATTGGAAAGTTAAAAAAAAACAGAGAAAGGAGAAAAGGATGAAGTTGATTAAATATACTACAAGTGGTGTGGTCCAATTATTAAATGTAAATATAGGGTAATAGTTCTAAATCTGCAACGGTAAACTTTGTATTCAAATTAGAAGTTTTATTTCGGGTTAGAGAGATGTTTCCTTAATCTCACAGAAGACATTGTATTTTGAGTTCTGCTTTAGTTCTGTAGCAAACCACATTAAATTCTGTTCATCAAAGTATTAATCTACTGAATACTTGCCCATTCCTTCCATCCACCAAAATAAATCCTAATATTTATCGAGAAAAATTATTCAGTTTTTTGCACCAATTTTCACCTGTTTTTGTTGTCATGGCGGGGAGGGATAGTTCAGTGGTTTGAGCATTGGCCTGCTAAACCCAAGGTTGTGAGTTCAATCCTTGAGGGGGCCATTTAGGGATCTGGGGCAAATCTGTCAGCGATGGCACTTGGCCCTGCCATAAGGTCAGGGGACTGAACTCAATGACCTCTCAAGATCTCTTCCAGTTCTATGAGATAGGTATATCTCCATATTTTTTTTATTTGTATTTAAATCCCAGGGAAAAATTAAACAAAAACCGAAAACAAAGGGACTTACTTATGCCTAAGCTACCCATAGCAGCCAGTTGCCAAAGCAATGCATGGAAATCAGTCAGATGCAGAAGAGTCTTCTCCACAGTTCTTTTCACCTGGCTAGTCCAGTTATGCCAAGGCAAGCTAAGGGGAAGGTGTGGGAATAACTATGGAAGCCATATATCATTGGGAAAATGTCTCATTTGCTAGGGGAATTCCCATGAGCCTTGTTCTCCTATGTTTAAATCTGCTTGTCTCAGCAGACCAAGGCAGAGCAGTAGTAGCAAGACTTTAGTCTGTGGATTTAAGCTGCTCTACAACAATACTTAGACTAATTTTTCAAATGCTAAGGCTGTACTGAAGAGTGAGAGGTTACAGATACTACCTTTCAATAGACAAGAGGTGCCTATCTCTGGGCCTTGGCACACTCTCTCTTTTTTTTTTTTTTGTGCAAAGGAAAAACTCAGTGTTGTCCCATTTAGCACAACATTCACTCATGAAATGTTTCTTATCTCTGAAACTTTTGCGAGCTAATGCTGAAATGTGTTAAGGACTTGATCCTGCAAGGTGCCCAGGATTATGGCCCTGATCCAGCAAAACTTTTAAGCATGTGTTTAACATTAGGAATTAAGTGGAACTACCTCTGTCAGTAAAGCAAACAGAATTTGGCCCATCATTTTCTTTCCTTGGTAATTATTTACAGGTGTTAATTTTTTAGATAAACATTTAGGTAAATATGTAGTCCCACAGCAATATAGTAATCAAATAGAATCGCTGATGTAGTTACATCAAGCAGAGCAAAGACAAAGCCTTCTGTTAGCTCCTCGGTATTATTGAATAGAAATAATCAAATATAAAGTAAATTTCAGCTCTTTTTCACGGAATGATGATCTTTAAGGGCAAGACTGAGTCTTTTGGCTCACCCTTTGGTATAAACTTAAAAGACAACAATGGACTAGTAGCACCTTATACAGTAACAAAACATGTAGATGATATCCTGAGCTTTTGTTGACAGGGCCCACTTCTTTAGATGACAGGAGTGTTAGAAGTCCAGATCCAAGAATAAATAAAGGAAGGAGGGAGGCAGGGAGAAGGGAAAAAAAAATGAAAGAAAAGGAGGAGAGGAAGAAAAAAGAGATAGTAGATAAGTAGTATAAGCTTCAGAGGGTGCTACTAAATTATTTGTTGTTTTTCAAGTTTTTGCTATTAGACTAACTTGGGTACCCCTCTGAAACCTTTAATATAAGACCATGCTTAGCTGCTTTGCCTTAGGCTCTGAGAGTCATTTCCTGCCCTCCTTCCCCTTCATCCTGAAGGAGTAAATAACTTCTCTTATGTGGTCTGTGTAGGGGAGTAAAACAGAGCAGTGGCTTCCCCCACTTTTCGTCCCTCTCCAGTTTACTTATGAGGGATGGAGAGATATGTTTTGGTATATAACCTCTGCTTTTCTCCTGAGCTATTTGAAGTATCTCTAATGCAGCCAAGTGGAGTGTCCCTAATATAGTTGTTACAACTCTTGATATTTAGAGTCATTGGATTTTAAAATAAATATGGAGGAGCGGAGGATAAGCAATACTTGGGAAAGATTTTTTTAGGATGTAATTAATATCAAATTAACTTAAATGTGAAAAGCACTGTTGCCTGGATAGCAACTACACAATGCAAGGTACTTAGTTCAGGCTCCAAAATCTGAATTACTTTTTAAGAGATGTATTTCAGTTTAGTTAAACATTTTAGTGAATTGTAGTTGGATTTGTTCTTGAGACTAAATACATAAACTGGTTGTGTAGACACTTGAAGTTGAAATTTGACCTTAAAACCGTTTTTCCTATTTCTCTTTAGCCTACCATGCTTCAGTGGATTGAACTGTTAACAAAACAATTTAATAACAGCCAGGCAGCTTGTGAGGTGAGATAAATAATGTGCTGTTTAACAAGGTAAAAGTAAAAACAAAACCAAGAAACTTTATCTAAAGAATTTTTGCAATTTTAGGGGCTAGCATCACTAGGCATTTTAGAGTATGATCTTTTGTATTTGGACATTAGATGTGCAAAGAGATGAAATTCCTCTCTCATGAAAAGCCTAAACTATGTATTGAGAATGCTAGGGTATGTCTAGACTGCATCCCTCTGTCGGCAGAGGGATGCAGATTAGTCAGGTCGACATTGCAAATGAGGCAGGAATTTAAATATCCCTGTGCCTAATTTGCATAAAAATGTCCGCTGCGTTTTGCCGACTCAGCACTTTGTCGGCAAAAAGCGGCAGTCTATAGGAGGATCTGTCGAGAAAGAAAGCCTTTTTTTGACAGATCCGGTAAACCTCCTTTGCAATGTCGACCTGCCTAATCTGCATCCCTCTGCCAACAGGGATGCAGTCTAGACCAGCGGTCCCCAACCTATAGAGGCTCCCGGGCACCTGGGGGCGGGGCCACTCACGCGCTGGGCGCCTGGGGGCAGGGCCGCACGTCCTGGGGCATGCCAGGGGCAGGGATGCCCTTGCACCCGGCGCCGGCATGTGCCCCGGGGTCGGGGCCAAGGCC